GGGGGGGGGGGGGGAGAAAGGGGGGAGACAAGGGAACCCTTCATTTCACGAGTCTATTGCCACCTTTTCATTATTCAGAACCATCAACGTGTCCTCATGTGAAAAAATGTTGAGCGAACTTGAAACGTGGTTGTCACAAGTATGTAACTTCCATGTATTGATGGAAATATTGAAGTATGACCATGGGCAATAGACTTCAGAACAGTAATGAAGCGACCCTTTGGAAAACATGTTTCTTTAACTTACCAAAATAAATAAAATGTTTTAATGGATGCTGACTTTTCAATGTACTCGAGTTTTCTTTCACTCTTTCCTTTTTTCATCTATTTTCCTAGTGAAGTCATGGCTCAGCTGAGTAATAGCTGAGGCATGTATTTTTCTGTAATATTCAATCAAATGAATGCTGAATTGCCTACATCCCATATAGTCCTAGATTTCCTTTCCTATTTCTACTTAATTTTAGGCAGAACTATAGTAAAATAGAGGCAGCATCTGAAAAGTCATAGCAACTACCTTTTATTAACATGAGATTCATAGCAACTACCTTTTTATTACCCACTTATGTTAATTCTTTAGAACATAATTACATCTAAATAGATTCTCTTAGCATCGGTTCTTACTTGAGTAATATTTGGTTGGAGTAAGGGCATATTTCCCTACCTTTGAGAAAGTCAAATGTTTCATTCCAATATTTATATTTTTGTATACTTGCACCATCTTTAACCTATTTGCATGATTATCGCCAAATTTTTTTTGGCGTTATCCTCCTCAACCCTTCATTAATAGGCAACAGAGGTCTTTACTCACAGATTTCTTGTCCAAAATAGTAGTTAAAGTGACGTGAAATAACATAATACTCCATGCTTAAATAAAAGTCAGAAAATATAAAAATAGAAAAAAAAGATTGACCCATCTTCCTCTTGTCCCCCTCTCCCTCCCCTCACCAAACCCAAACAATGATCTCTGCACACCAATTTCTTCTTGACTTTTGACTCTCAATACCAAAACCCTCTGCCACCAATGTTGTGACCCTTCATTCACTCCCAACAAACTTCCATTGCAATCCAAGATAGATATGGTCTCGAGATGGCTTACGAAACAAATTTACTACCATGACCTGCTTCTTCACTCTAACTTCGTTCATGGGTCCACTGCCATTGTTCTCTCTTGGCCTTCTGCCCCCTAAAGAAACTTATCCTTTTATCCTCAAGGACAATTGGGTGCCATTTTGATGAAAAAGAGAGGGTCTCATTCTCTATCATCCCATTGCCAATTCACCGAAGAAAACGTGCAAGTATTGTTACTTGTAGTGTCTTAAATGGTGGAGGGTTGAGAGAATGATAAGAATTTGGTAGAGGGACTGACATATATGAAAACCCTCAGAATTTTAATGGAGGTGGGGGAACTTGGGGTGTGGGGTTGGGGGGGGGGGGGGGNGGGGGGGGGGGGGGGGGGGGGGGGGGGGGTGTCGAGTTGGGTGGGGAAAGGTGGGCTTGCCAGTGGTTGAAGAAGAAGGATTAGTTTTCAATTTCTTTTATTTTTTCCTTTTATATTTATGTTGGCCAATTTAAGACTAAGGGTAAATTTATCATTGCACGCGCCACTATAACTGCTATTTTTGGACAGATGTCTTTAAGGACTATTATACCTATTAATGAAAGGTTGAAGAGCTTAATCCCAAAAAAGGAAAAAAAGAAATTTCGGAATAGAAGTGCAAATGGTATTTAGGTTGGGGAAGGTGTGTACAATTTATCCTTCATCTTTCAGATCTCCAAAAACATTTTTAGGGGCTGCAATTTTGTAAGAAATATGTTCTTATAAATGGTTTTGCGCAAAAGCTTGGAGATATTTTTTCTTTCCACCACTCTTACCTTTTTCTGTGTCTCTATCTCTTCCATTAAGATTTTTAACATGGTAGTTAAAAGTTTCATATCGTTCTTTGACCAACATATGCATGAATATATCATTAAAACCATTTTTTGTTACGTCTTTTCTAAGAACTGAAAAAAGATGACCAAGAATGACGAGGAGACCGCTCTTCCTGTTGGTGTCTTTGTTGTCATGTTATCTTGTACCTGCTTTGTTTTAGAATAAGTATATTAGCTTGAGTAGTCTAATGTTTGAAAACCATCAACATTGATGCCTCTAATTAGTATCTACATATGTGTATAATCCTCTTTTTATGGGCTGAGAAACAGTGGATATGTTTAGTTTTGAGTAACAGTTAGATAACATCCAGGAGCGGCTTTGAGAATGTTTAAAGATTGGAAACTCTCGGTGCCAATAGTTGCTAAACTTGCAAACACTTTATTTACAAGTAATGAAAAGCTATATATTTCTGATACAATCTAAGAATTCTTTTTTACTTATTGTGAAGGTATTCCAGGAAACTCCATAGATGGTTGTTTAGTAGTTCGACTTTTTACGAAGGCAACATTCCTTATATAAGGTCAAATCAAATGTAGAGCTTAAACTCTGTGTTACTGAGCCTGATGACGAATTCTGTAATGTGTATCTTTGCATAGAATTGAAACTTTCTTTTTTAACAAAGTTGTATACTATAGTTCTGTTTTCATTTGACCCATGTCTTATTAATCAACCCAGTAATTAGACTTAGTTTAACCACTTGCAAACATGAGTATTTCTTTAACTATCCTTGTGTATCTGTTCTATTCAGTCGTTTCGGTACTTGGCCGGTTGGCATGTTGGCTCAAAGCAAAAGTAAAACGATACTGGAAGGTCCTGTGTGCAATGGAAGCCAAGTAATTGGATGGCACACAAATCAGAAGAGTAAAAGACTTCGTAGATTCCATGTTGACATGTCAGGCTTTGCCTTCAACAGCACCATACTATGGGATCCTGGGACATGGCATCGACCATCTTCAGATCCAATCCGACAGTTAGACACAGTGAAGGAGGGCTTCCAAGTATGCGGTGTCTCTTTTCATTTTGATTGCTGGCAATTTTAAGGATTTTGACGTTGTACACCTTAGAATGCATTGTTAAAATCCTGTTTGGATATTGTGGATTTTTGCAGGAGACGACTTTCATAGAACAGGTTGTAGAAGATGAAAGTCAAATGGAAGGCGTTCCTCCAGGTTGTCATAGAATAATGAACTGGCATCTCCATTTAGAAGCTCGTGAACTTGTATATCCCATAGGATGGACGCTTCAGAAGAACCTCGATGCAGTTCTTCCCTCCAAGTCATAGAATCTGATCTCATGCTAATCAACCATATTGTTTGATCCATGAGGTGTGTTATAAGTTCTAATCCTATTACTGAAATGAATAACTATGACATCGTTATCGTTGTCCTCGTTCCATTATGAAGAACATACTCCTAGTGAAATTTGATTGGGTCGTGGAAGAAAGCAAAAGGTTTGAACAATTAAGAATCCCAACCTCTGGAAACATTTTGAAACTAAAGAAAGAATGGTAGAAACTCGGGCACACACTCTTTTACTGATTCTCCGTATAATGAAATACATAAATGTGATTTTATACCAGTAAGATTGCATGTTCATTCAAGTCAATATCCTGCATACATTTCCAGCTGACGTCATTTCCTTGTAATTTTTAATCTTGGACATATGCAAACTAAAAACTAGGCCTTAATCTACTGAAGAAAACAAAAAACCCAAATATGGGAGAAGGTAAATAAACATTTATTGGTATCAAAAGAATGTGTCGGCTAACTGTGAACTCAATTTTTCAGGAAAAAGTAATGACAGTATGTTCTTAGATGGTGCTGGTTTTTCTTTTGAAGCAAATCATTGAAGTAAGGCATTGTGAGCAGGTCGAAAGCAGCACTCTACTCTCTCCATAAGAATAGAGCATCAGATGGAAGAAGCATGTATATCATTTGTAGATTTTTTTGGAGAAGATTTGGCAATTGTTCTGCTCCCAGGCTTAGAACTACCTTGAATTGTTCAGACCCTCGGAACACAGGATTAAGCTTGTCGCTTGAGCTTTAGGGTTGAAAATTAATGTGACTTTCAATTGTTATTGCAATATGTGATTAATAGCCTAGAACGCAGTAACAATGTTTGGATGTTGATAGTGTTACTTTCTGAATTTCTGCTTATGGCAACGACGACGGAAACTCCCTAAAAGACTGGGATTCTCTTTGTTTCAAACTTTGAAGATGGATGTGGAAACTGAAACTATGCCTCAAGATTGGCCTTATTGTATTTTGGAAAAATTAACTAAAACCCTACATTTTAATTTCCATTTCAAAAATCAGCTACTAAAGATTTTTATTCAATAATCAGGTTATAATTATTTTTTAATTTAAACACATTATTATACCCCCACTACAACCAACCACCCTCATAAATATCTTCTTCCATGCCCCCACCCACCCACACCTGATTCCATGCACAATTAAACCCAATTTAGTTTCACACCCATTTAACACCATGGCCCTTCTTTAATCCATTTCTAATCCTTGAATCACCACTATCGAGCGGCGGCGATTTGAGCGTCGCAGAGTGGGGGCGTCGGCTCAGTCTCTTCTCCTCTCTCCTCAGCCATTGCCGTCGCCGCTAAGTTATCAGTCCCCGCCGTCAGACTGTTGCGAAGACGCCACCACCACCGTGCTCAAGATGCCACTACCGATAGGTGGCGATTTGAATGTCGCGGAGTTGTTCGCCCTTCCGTTTCTACAGTTCGGGGAGTGCAGATCCTTTCTTCTTCCCTTTTTTTTTTTAATTGTGTGGTGATGACGGTTCGGTGGTGAAGGTGAGGTGCAGTGGTGGTTGCGTCAGTGATGTGCTCTGTGGTGCTGTAGGTGCAATGGTTGACTGAATCGTGTGGTACTGTGAGCGTTGGAGGTGGTCGTGTGCGGTGCTTTGACGGTGATGGTGGTGGTGGTTCAGTAGCATTTTTTTACGATGGTGCTATGTGCGGTGTTGTGGCAATGGTGGTGGAAGTGTGCGGTGCGATGGTAGGAACGGAGATCTCTAGTGGTGCTGTGGTTGTGGTGGACGTAGAGGTAGAGGTCAATTCGGGTGGTTCGGGCCGGGTTGGCCTGCCAACATATGAGTTCGATAACGACTCGCGTGAAAAAAGCCTTCCCGCCACTAGTTCCGCGTCGATTCCGGGTCGACCCACAAATTTTGGACTACAACTCAAGCCCGCCCGCTGACCCATCCGGGTCCAGCCCATAAGGGTTACGGCTCGCGGTTTGTTCCGATTTGACCCGTATTATGTATAAATAAAATTATAAAAATATAGAATTTTTCATATTTATAGCAAAAAATATTTTTTTTATTAAAATGTAAACTAAGAATTGAACAAAATGATATATTCATATTTATACCAAGAAATATTTACATAGAATTCAAATTTAATGTTACATGAATTATTTATAACTTTGAAAAGTTAAATTTAATAGCAAAAAAATATTTTTTTTGTTAAATATAAACTAAGAATCGAACAAAATGATAAATTCATATTTATACCAAGAAATGTTTACATAGAATTCAAATTTAATATTACAGGAATTATTTATAACTTTGCAAAGTTAAATTTAAGTTAAACACATAACAACTAAATGCATTTCTAATTACTATTATCAAATATTTATAGTATAAGTATATCCCAATTAGGTTGGCACTCTCCTTTTTTCAATTTTTAATTTTTTTTTCACGAGCCAGCGAGTTAACCTCGGCCCGTGAAGGTGCAACCCGCGAAACTCTCGGATCACACCTCCTTGACCTATGAACCGCCGTTCGGGTCACGAGTCAGCCCGCGATCCTAGGTAGATCCAGACCGATTTTCACGAGTCTGGTCAACCCGTACGTCGTGACACCTCTAGGTGGAGGTATGAGATGTCGTGGCAGTGGTGGTGGAAATGTTATTGCAATACTTCGTAACATAATTCGTAATTGTATCCCACCACATTTTGTCTATGTTTGATCAAATTTGGTCTACCTGATTTTCTTGATGGTGTTGATCGTAAATTTGAATTGAAATTGGTAGTGGTGGTGCATTGAAGGTGATGGTGGTAATGACCGGTGATGGATTGTGGTGCTTGTTCATGGTGTAAGCGGATTTGTTTGTAATGACCATTTGTGGCCAAATATCACAATGAATAACACCAATTAAGATGCCATAAATGAGAGGAAGATAGTCGTCGGAACCAGGATTAGATGGAAAATGGATACACTTTTATTCTCGATGGCCCACTGAAAGCCCATGGGAGTGCAAGTTTTGGCCTACATGAATTAACCTCGACTGTTCGGAGTTCAATGTCAATCTCTTCCTCCCACATTTAGGAACTCAAGTATGTTTTCAAAAGCTCTCGAGGCTTGTTCTAACAACATTTTTTATAACTCAATTTTTCTCAAACTCATTTACAATCATACATTTCGTTAAATCCACAACTTTTATCAAACTTCCACCATACATTTCATCAATTTCTATCAAATCTAATTTCTTATCTAAACTAAACAAGAGCTTAAGTTTCAACATTTCTATTCCATTGTAATAGTCTCTCTATTAGAACTAACTAATACGCCACTACTTAATAAGTCAAAAAATGCCCTAATCCACAGATGCGCACACAAATCATGTAAGGTAGAAACGATAACATTTAACTGTATTATCTATTTGAAGAGGAAAAACGAAAACCTCAGATCATGGGAAGTTGCTTCTCAATGCAAGAGAAAAACAATTGCACCCCTAACCTCAACCCGGAGGAAAAAGGAACACACTAAACAGAAAGAATTATTATACCAATGAGATGCAATTGGATTACATTCCCTACAAAATTAGCTCTCCATAGCTTTTGGAGGTGCACCCTCACTCCAAATTCAGCTATGGCTCCGGGTTCGGCATGGCATGTGAACTGGGCAAGAACATCCACTTTCCGAAGCTTTTGGAGAGAATCGGAGGACAAGCTCCAGATTAGCAGACAATACGTTTGCATCCCTGATTCATATCTCGACTCTCATCGAGTAAATGTTGCACCATGAACTGAAGAACAAGGATCTCAAGCATGCAAAGATCTACAACACAGCAGCGGCTGACAAGCTTAGGTTGCGATGCCAAGAAGTACCAGAGTCGACCTGCCACATGCATATTAAGTTCATGAAAACAAGCTCAGAGGCCCTAACTATTTGCTAAACAGTTACGTTTTTTTTTTTTAGGCGAAAGTATAATCAGCTAGGCTGCTACAATGCTGTAATGAACTCATTTAAGCAAAAAATTATAAAATGAGATTTCCTTGTGTAACTCGATAGAAATAGTAGTTTAGAAACATGGACATAAATTTAGTGAAGTGGTAATACATGCAATGCAACTTGATATATTGTATTCCAAACCACCCATCAACCCCAGGAGTGCACACGCTCTAACCATCTGAGTCCAAATAAGCACAAGGCACTTCTGCTATAGATTTCTGTAGCTACATTAAGCCCTCGTTTGATGGTGATTATTTGAAAATCAATTTTCCCTCGTACTCATATTCAACTACACATTCTCCAAAAAAATAAATTTTCAAATATCCACATAAATTTTACTTACTTTTTAACCACCACATATTCTCAAAATAAATAAATCACTTTAATTACACTTTCACACAAGCAATAAGTTATTACTACTGAAGTCAGTAATATAAACAAAGACCCTTCTGATGAGTTTCACCACATTTAATTGTTGCCCATTCAAATAATTAGCCATCCAAGTAAATCAAAACTTCCTTACTCAAAATCCATCACAAAGAAAAAATTAAAACAACAGAAATAGAAAGGAAAGACAAGACAAGAAATTTAAGGTTGAACTGAATTTTATTCATAGAAAACGACACCTATATACAATATTTTATTCATAGACGACGACACCTATATACAATGGTCCAATCGCATCAATGAAAGGGAAGAAACCTAACCTAAGGACAGAAGGGAAACACAATATTCTTACCACTGTATTAATTCCTAATTTAAAATAAAAATAATATCCTATTCCAATTCTCCACCTCAAGTAGATGCATAGATACATGCTCGACTTGGATAGTGATGTATAGAATGACCCACTACTTAAAAACCGTTGCTATACCATTATTTCAACTCCAAGTAGTAAAAACCTCCCTCCTTCTAGTCACTCCAATTGTCATCTCGATTAGAATGACGTCCATGTAGTGTTACTTGATATACATAAGAAGAGGAATACTGGTACGCAAGAAGCCCTAACATAGACAACAAGCACAA